AGACATTTAAATAATTTTACAGAATAGACTACATACAATCTACCCTATAAAACAGATTTACTCTTAAACTTCTCGTTCTGAACTTATTAAGTTTCTCTATTTAAATTGAATTAGTTGCTAAAGTTTATTACAAATTTTAACTAATCTATCTTTATAAAATATTTCGTAAAATATTTCTTGAATCATCATATTTTATTAGGATTATAGTGTCATTTTTTTAAAACTTAAAGTACTACTCTTTTCATTAAATCTAACAAAATTTTATATGATAGACTATTTTGAAATATTATCCAAAGTTTATAGACCATTTAGAAAGAAAATAAACTTTCTAAATTGAAATGAAATTAAACTGATAGTTAATAGACTAAAAATTGACCACCTTGACGCAAATAAGGAGTATAGCCATAGGAGTTCTTTATGGTGGAGAAAAATCTGTAGGATTGGTCACCTTGATGTAAATAATGAGGGATGGCTGGCTGGGGGTTTTAAATTGAAAATAGGAGAGGGGAATTCTACCAACTTTTGGATGGATACATGGATAGGGGATTAACCCCTTGTTAACCGATTTCCTAGACTTTTTCTTGTTTCAACAGATAAAGAGAAGAGGATCTCCCAAATGGGGATATGGAGGGAAGCGAAATGGCTATGGACTTTAAACTGGAGACGACCACTCTACGAGTGGGAGGAAGACAACTATTCTGAGATGCAAAGATTACTCAACCATTTTTAACCAACCCAAGATCGCAAAGACAGCCAAATATGGAGGCACACTAAAGAGGGAGAGTACTCTGTCAAATCAACATATGCCCTTCTTTCCAGCAACAACCAAGATAGCAGAACTCAGATGCATGCAAGGACATGGAGCAAACTTATCCCCACAAAAATCAGCGCATTTGGGTGGCAAGTCTTGCAGGATAAAATCCCTACTAAGCTTAATCTTTATAAGAGGGGAATCATAACATATTCTAGCCAGATTATGTGTGAAATGTGCAGAGGCAGCATTGAAGATGTCAACCACCTTTTTAGTCACTGTAAAGTTGCTTTTCTGGTTAAAAGCAAGTGTGCACAATGGTGGAGGTTCCTCTCAGTCCAACTGGAGAATTGCCTTAATGATTTTGAACAACAAAAACCCCTTATAAAAGACCCTTCAGTGAGAGCTGGGTGGGATGTGGTTTGGTTCTCCATCATATGGTCACTGTGGTTAGCAAGGAATGCAAGGATTTTCAGAAATCAAGAGCATGAGGCAGACAAAATCTTTGAGCTTGTACGATTAAGAGCTTTCAACTGGATTAAGGGCAGAACAGCGAGCTACTCATTCAGCTTTCACGATTGGATGCTGGAACCAGTCCTATGTCTCAAAGATAAAAGAGGTACACATTAAGTCTATTTTTGTTGTTTTGTAAGGTTTCCTCATATTGTCACTGAGCAGTTAGTTGACTTCTGCTGTTTCTTTTGTTGGTATATACTTTTGTGTTTTATTTGCCGAAGTCAGTGAATACTCAATGATTGCTTATTTTTGTACTATGGGCAGGCGTATCCCTTGTATTCCATCAAATAAAATTATTTGGCTGTGCAAAAATAAATAAATAAATAAAAAGACTAAAAATTGAATTAAGCGTGGTAAAAAGTGTCATCCCATAAATCAAATCTAAATTTTATATTTTGAGGTTAATAGCTAGTAAAATTGATTTCTTTAAATGCATTAGGGCATGTGGTGAGTATGTTTTAAAATTACCTAAAGATGAATTAGTCAAAACAATCTTTCCCTCTCTTTCTCTCTCCTCTATTCCTTTAAACTCAAATATACAATAAATAAAAATGTAAAATAATGTGAAACCGCACTCAGCAGTCCAAAAGAACGTACAGGGGGACAACCTACTTTAATATTTATGTTTACCAAATTCACGTACAGCTTCTAATGTACGCAGTAATATTGACTAGGTCTTCAAAGTTCAAACCCCAAACACATCAAATTTTTTCAGGATGAATGAAGGCTTAGGCTATAAATAAAACCACACCTCATACTCATCCCCTCTTATGCGTCATACAAACAACATGCCGGTAAGGCAGGCCTGTTTCTTCCTTTTCCTTTTTCTTTTTTTTTTTTCTCCTTTATCAGTAGTTTAATTTCAGTTATTATGAATCTTCTTTTTTTTTTCTGGAAAGGAACATAAGTTTTAATGTGTTGAATTGTTAATCTAATGTTGCAGAAAAAGATAGTCATCAAAGTACGAATAAACTGCGACAAATGCAAAACCACGGCCCTCAAGATTGCTTCTGGAACAGATGGTTAGTGTGTGTGTATATATATATATACCATGTTAATTAATTACCGAAAACATAATTTGGATTTTGCTTGTAAATTAATCTCTTAAGTAGTAATTTCTTTCCTTCGTTGATCATCCTGACAGGTCTGAACTCGGTGGCAATACAAGAGGCAGACAAGCTGGTTGTGATCGGAGATGGAATTGATTCAGTTGCTCTCACCTGTAAACTTAGGAAAAAGCTTGGATTTGCCGACATACTCTCTGTGCAAGAAGAGAAAGCTCAAGCACAAGCTGATAAACCGCCGCCCAAAAAAACTGATCCTCCCGCTGAGATCATTCCGTTAATATGTTACTATTATCCTTCTACGTGCCAAGAATTAGTGGTCTGTGATCCAAACCCAAATCCCTGTCCAATCATGTAATTCCATCGTCTCTTCAAAATAAACGCGCGCGTATGTTTTCTAGTTTCTTATAATTTCTTCTTAATGTTAATCCTACCAAGCTACTACATGTCTTCGTCTCTTTCGCTCTTGATGCTCTTGTTGGAAATAAATACCAATTCCAGGCCCTTGCTCATGTTTAATTTAACTTATATTTGCACCCTTCAGTTCAATCAAAATTCAAAACCATGCATGATGCATGAATATTACAGATATAAAAAGATAAGAAATCAATTACTTAAAGTTAATGAATTGATTAATTTTACTAGTAGGAGAGTTTAAAGTAAATATGATGAATTATATCAAGATTTTATTTAATAATGTGTTTTTTAATTTTCTCTACTTTTATTCATCTACTTTAATTTTCTCTACAATGAACAATAAAATGATCATTATTCTTTAGAATTAGGATTGTATAGCAGTTTTACTACAAGTAACTATAAGCTTCATAATCTTTGATAGTCGTTTTTCACGTAGTATTGCATAAAATAGAAAAGAATTAATTAAAGCATAGTAAGGTCAAGTCAATTACCCCTTCCCCACTCAAGTTTGAATCCAACCGTCCGAATCCTAGCAAGGTGGGGCCGGGAGGGCTTTGGAAAGTAGACGTGATTGATGATCTACCAAAAAAAAGATAATTACCTTTCTTCTTACCTTTCGAAGGGTTGAATGGCTGTATGAAGGGGACTCATTAAGGCTTTTTGAGCAATTATTGACTGTAGTGGATTTTAGCTGTAGTCAATGCATGATCAAAGTCTTCTGGGTCAGTGGGTGTGATGGGCGAAGGTTTGCTGATCTGAGCAGGGAGATTTATTGAGAATACAAAGGAAGGCATCATTCCCGTCACGGGTATAGTGCCGACACTTCATTTGGGTGTCGACACCTTGTGTTTACTTTTGATGTTAATGGGTTTGGAGTATCCTTGTATTCTGCTTATTAATAAATAATATATTTGCTGTTCAAAAAAAAAAAAAAAAACAAACGTGGCTGCGATGACTTGGAATACAAGACCAACATTTGAAAGTTGAAATAATACAAAATTGTGACTCTATACAGCTGCAAAGCAACAAATCTATGCACAAGTTTATCTGAGAACTATTTCATCGGAAAAAGAAAAAGAAAAAGAAAATAAAAGCCCGAATTTTTGCTTCGTTTTCTGTAACGATTATAGGAATGACCCAGCACCCAAAACGGGAAACACAAATTAAACCCAAAATAAAAAGAAGAATAGGACAGAATGGGATAAAAAGAGAGTACAGGGGGAGGAGAAACAACGATCCGAAATGTTGGTGTTTGTGTTAGTGTTGGCGGACGGGCAGATGAATAAGGGGGGGAGCCTCCATGGAGCTGAGAGACTCCACCACAGGGCCATTTCTTTCATTTATCCTCTCTCCGGATGGAAGCTTGAAGCTAGCCAGCTAGGGTTTGATGATGCCAGTGTGCTGGGATTTCTCTGAATATTGTTGGTGTAGGTGTAGAGAAAAAGCGACACCGTTTCAATTCAACAATAGGCCATTTGTCCTATTTAGTACTAGTAATTCTGGACTTTAATGGACGCACTTGAACGATAACATGGACTTGACTGGGTCACTC